GTCTGCACCTCCGCCTGCCAGCGGCTCTCGGTCCGCGACTGGATGCTCGCCATCAAGGTCCAGTGGAAGTTCTTCAAGAGGAAAAGCGCCCCGCCCTAGCTTCCGTGTCCAGCCTGCGCCACGCTCAGTGCCCGTTTTACCAATAAACTGAGCGACCCCGAGCCGTGTGCGCCTCCTGCGGGCGGGGTGGGGTCGGGCGGCGTCGGTCACCCTGCGATGGCCTGGCCACGCTCCTCCGTGCTGCCCGGTGCGCCGTGGGCCCCCGAGTCCAGCTGCGCTGGCTTGTCAAGAGGGGGCTTTGCAGTTGCCTCCGTGGGGTCTGCAGGTGGGGGGGCTGATTGTTCAGGGGTCTCTCAGAACCCGATGAGAGCGGAGGGCCCCTCTCCCACGAGCGATTCTCTCACACACACCCACCGTTTCTCATCCAGGCTCCCAGGGTTCCCCTCCCCAGCTGGTCATCTGTGGCAGCACCACATCCGTTCTGCTCTTCATCTGGGTCCTGGGCACACTCTGGAACTCCATCCCCAGAAATCCCAGGTCAAGCCCTGACCTTGGTCAGCAAGGATGGGATGACAGGGTGACTCCTTGCTCAGCCAGCTCTGCTACAGGAAGCAGCCCCAGCCTGCCCTTTGGGGCTGTTCAAGGAGCTGAGGGTGGGGGGCAGCAGACCTCCAACCTTGCTCACAGTGCAGGCTCCAGGCCGAGCGCAGGCTCCCATAGCGTGCTAGTCTCGTAGCTGGCAGCTTAAAGCAACAGGAAGGGACTCTCACAGTCCAAAATCAGAACCACTGAGACAAAATCAAGGTATTGGCAGGGCCCCACTCCTCCAGGGGCTCGAGGGCAGGGTCCATTCCTTGCCTCTTGCCTCTTGGCTGTGGCTATATCACTCCAGTCTCTGCCCCTGTGGTCATATGGTCTCCTCTGCATCACGTCTCCCTCTGCATCCCTCTTACAAGGACACATGTAATTGCATTGAAGACCCACCTAGATAATCCAGGATAATCTCATCCTAAGATCCTTAATTTAGTCACTTCTGCAAAACCCTTTCTTGCCACATAGGTCACATCACAGGTCCCAGGGATGGGGCCTGATATCTCCGGCAGTGTATCCAGCCCACAACCCTGGGGATGGGAATGCTGCCAGCCAGGAGAGGTGGGCACATGTGGCTCAGAGGTTCCCGTGGAGAGGCTCCTGGTGTCTCCCCACCAGTCCTATGGAGGGGATGGGCCCCTTGAGCTGCATGAAGGGAAAGTAGGGCAAGGACAAGGAAGACTTCAGTAGCCAGATGCCGTTTGGGATCCACTTCCAGGGGTGGGGGTTGTGCTGGTGGCTGCAGACCCATGGGGAAGGGTCTGGGCTGACCCATAGAGGCCTCCTGAGTCAGCAAATACAGACAAAGGACACCCAGGCAAATTTGGATTTCAGGTAAACAGGATGATTTTTATTGTTGTTGCTCACCTTCATCCAAGGATAGTTTGTCATTGACTTTTGGAGACAGTGGACGGGAAGGAGGGAGAGAGAGAGAAACATCGATGTGAGAGAGACACATTGATTGGTTGTTCCCCCCCCCCC